ACTCATCATCAAGAACTGCCATGATCTGTTCCACGCTGGATGATTTTAGCTTTCTTCTCTCCTGATCGACATTCACATAAGGAATGTAGTCTTTGACAGTCATTTCGATGATGTTGCCATTGGGATCTAACATGAAAGGAGTTTTCCCAGTCGGCCATACGAACGAATAGCCAAGGTCAACGCACCGCTTGCCCATGGAAATTACGGAAGGCGTGTCTTCCAGGATGTGAGCTTCTGCTGGTTCGTTGAATGCCTCGAACTTGATACTTGAACGTTTGGTCGAACATGTTACCCCGTTTGCTGTATGGAAGTTGACGACTTTATCATCATATGTTGGGAGATCCATTCTACTTATTCGTGTGGATGAGATAAGATCATGACCACTTCCAGAATCCAATATGAATCTCTTATCTCTTTCTTCAACAGGAACAGTGATACACATTGTGTTACCCCTTTTGCCATATCGACCCTCGACATGTTGAACATAGTTCTCCACGAAGACCTCCCTGGATACCTCACCGTCCTCGATGTCGAACCTGATCAGAATGTCAAGACTGGGGCCGACGATGACTAGGACTTCATCAATGTCACTGTACTCACCCTTCTCATCGATCAGGATAGCCATTGCCTTCCCTCGGCTCGATGCTAGTCTGCATGAATAAGACCATTGCTCATCTTGCCTTACCTGATCGGTGGGCTTGCCGACTTTACCATGACCTTTGGGGATGGTTTGGGATTTCCGGCTGCACTTCACGAAGTCCTTCTTCACGTACGTCTGAATGCAAGTCTTCGACTCGTCGAATCGTACCTTCTTCTTGACGACATTCGGTGCAACCTTGTGGAATGTCCCTTCGTCATCACTCCATTCATGGACAAGTGCAGGAGTAGCCTTTGAGCTTGGTGCTTCGGTGTTCGGAGCAGTGTTGAAGAGATGAGGATCGTGACGTTTGTTGCATTTGTCTCCGTATCGGCACTTGCCCTTGGCCCAGTGCCAGCATGGTTCATCAATCTTCTTGGTCTTGTTCGCTGGAGATTGACTTCTCGGAGTTCCTGGCTTTCGACCATTACCTTTCGTGTTCTTGTTCGCATCAAACACCTTTTGGTCGTGACTATATTCGCAATCTTTTCCTTTTCTGCATGCTTTCTTGATGAAATGGAAATGACATGGGATCTTCTTCTTGGATCTAGGACTAGCACTTCGGCTGTTTGACCGTCCGTTTCCTTTCCCTTGACCTTTCCCTTTTCCTTTTGCATGCTGTTTTGGTTGAGGTGATGGTAGAACTGGAGCTGCATCGGCCTTGGCCTTCGCCTTAGGTGCTGCCTTCTCCTTGGGAGTGGCTTTAGCCTTCGCCTTCGGATTGGCATCTGGTGCAGCAGCAGTTGGGTTTGGTGCAGGAGTAGTGGGTTTGCCACCACCTGCAAACTCTCTTGCGTACTTCTCTCTGGCGGCCACATGCTTGTCTTCTCTGATCCTGGATATGTGCCTCTCGATGACGTCCAGCAGGTAACGATAGCTTCGTCTTTGATCACCTTCGATCCATGACTCATACTGCTTGATGTCGAACATCATGAGACTCGAATTTCGAATCTTCTTGTATAGAGCGTCACGAAGCCAATCATCAGGAGGTACATCATCCGGCATCATATTTGACACCATCTCCATCCACTTCTCGTAGAACACTTCCAGGTTGGAGTCACCGAGATACTTCATCGATACGATGTGCTCCATGGTGAAGGCTGTCTCTCGTTGACCTGGTGTCCTGAAGTGTTCCAGAATCATAGCCAAAATCTCTCGTCCCATAACATAGGTTCCTCTTCGACTATGACTCTGTGTTCTCAATCTTAGTTTAATTGCCACATGACGAGCAACATCACCGGCTTGGGCTATCACGTTCGACAATGCGATTGACAACTTGGCGTCGATTGACTGATATCGTTGCCCACCACTGTCATTCAGTAGCTCGATGTCAGGATTTGGTCGAATAGCCGGCTGTAGCCATGCTTCCCATGCAGCTTTGTCTCCATCATTCGCGGCAAGAACAACACCCTTGATGAGATCTGACTGCCAAACCCCAAGGTTCTGTTGCTTCGGCCATGGGCTAACATAGACTTTGTCAGCCTCCCGTCTCGACATTCTCGGTACTTCTTCTGCCGTGTACGCCGCAGTGGAGATATCATCTGCTGAATCGCGTTGTGATCCCCGCACAGAAGGTAAGCCAGGAGGTTCTGGAGGTGGTCCTGGACCATCAGGTCCAAAAGGGTCAGGAGGCCCATCAGGGTCAGGTGGGCCACCCCTTCCGCCCGGAGGCTTGTAGTAGTCCTTCTCGGTTCCATCGGCGATCTTGTTGTCAACTTCTTTCAGCAGGTCGGCGATCCTTTTGTTCGATTGAGATGGTTGATTTTGAGATGGTCCAGCATGCCCGTAATAGGAGAGAGCAGCATTAGTCTCGTAGGTCAACTCCTTGTCGATCTGCGATACCCATGATTTCAGGACAGTTCTCGGAGTTAGCCTCACTCACCTCATTCTCCAGTCTATCAATGACCAGTCTTGATGCGAGATCATAGTTGGGGATACCTGCCGAATAGGGAAGCGTATCAGGGTTGACCCTGGACATAGATGTTTCAGAATCCTTGAGACTCTTTCTCAGTTCGTCTATACGACGTTTCATGTCAATAATCTCAGAATTCTTGATACCGATCTTTTCATCCCTATCCTGAATTTCCCCCATGAACATGCATGATCTCTCATATTGCTGAACACCACTAGCCAATTTCATTTTGCGCTCACTTTCTAGTTCAGATCTTAAAGCTCGGACTTCAGCATTGGAGAGGGACGACGCCCCTACATCCGCAACCTCAGTCAATCTTTCTTTTAACAACATGTTTTCCTGTAAACATTCATGAACTTCATGGTCTAGATCCTGAACCCTGATTTGAGCGATTTTGGCTTGGTTCCGTAGATCTTCAACAAGCATCTCATCAGGGCCACGACCGTCGATCGTAGTGCCCTGAGTTAATGATCTTCGCAACTTCACGTTCTGCAATCTGATCTCATCCTTCAATTCACAGTTCATCTCCTGCTCGTTGGCGTAGAGCTCTTCATAGTGCTCTGCCCTCGCGATCGCATTTGCACTAGCCTGTGATTCAAGCCTCAGGTGTGATATCGCTTCGGCCTCGTGGTTCCTGTATGATGCAATTCTTCTGACAGTATCATGTTCAGTGTTTCGGTGTTTCAGATCGCTTTCCAATTTGGCTTGGTTTGCCTCGAAAACCTTCTTTCTGGATTCTCTAGTGATCTCTTCAATACTGTTTTCATACAATTCGGCCTGTTTACGAGACTGAACTAGAGCTTCACTCAATCGCTGGTTCCGTTCAGACAATTCATGAACCGCAATTGATTGTTGTTGGCTAATCATTTCAAGTTGATTGCTTGAGAAGGATGCCATTTCGGATCGATTACGATATTCCATGATTGAGTTCTGGAAATCCGTCTGCATTTCTTGACCTTCAGTGTACAATCGGTTGGCAATATCGGTAGTTAAGACATTGGTCTGATGAAGTTGTTGCAGTCTTGCCTCCGTATTACCCAATAGTCCTTGAAGGTGATGTACTTCATCCTTGTACTCTTCTTGGATCTCCATACCGCGTTGATGGATCCGTCTTGCACCGTGTTCCATCAGGGCACCTCGGCGTTCAAGGTCTTGGATGCGTATTGTTGCACCTTCGTCTTCCTGAGATGCTACCATTAGTTCTGCTTGATACTCTGCAACCTCATTTGCGGAACATGACAATCTATGATTGAGTGCATTGACCTCATCAAACACATTCTGGTTGTGTTCCTGAAGATATTCAGTGAATCTGATCTCGATGTCATGAATCAGTTGATCTCTTGATGCAGCATATGCTTCCATATTGTTCAACTGATTACGTAAGGATTGACATTGTGCCCGTAGTTCTGCTATCATGGCAATAGGTTCACTAGCCACAGAAGTATCCGTTGATCTCCTCTTAACACGAGTGTCCCCGGTCCTCTCACCAATTCGGTCGGTTCCGGCCCTGGTGGATCTGTCCCTTGGGGTAGTTCGTCCTCGAGATGGTCGATGCCCTTGGCGGACAACATCACTTCGAGCACTGTTTCGAGAAGATCTTGGTGTACTTTGGGTGGACATTCTTCGTCTGTTTGACGTAACTTGCCATCCGGACTGTGTAGTTCGGGTAGAGCGTATCCCGCCACTGTCTGCTGTGTCGCCAGGGGAAGATTGAGTGACCTCCTCGACCGGCATAGCAGCGTTCTCGTTGAAGGTAAACTGCGTGTTGCGCGAGTCCCCGCTGCCGCCCTGCATCTTTGCGATGATGAGCTGATTGGTCCTTCGCGTCCACAATCTTAAGCTCTGACGGCCCGGCTACCAGCACGCAGGTACTCCTCTTCCGACGGAAGATGTGAGCCCTTACGGCTGATAACCTGTGAACAATTTTAATCCTTGTTCCTGGATATCTGGTTGTAGATGTTGGAGTCCCTAACGAGTTGGTAGCCAGAATCCCGGCAGCATTGCTGGGCAGCGCGAACACCGTTTTCCCTTGCGACTTGAGCCAAGTATTTGGCGTCATGTCAGGCCTACTTCACATGCTTATACATGTGTGCAGTACCGTTTAGTTCCCTTTAGCAGTATAAATGTTCCATTGGAACTATTGGAACCTCCATTTTTGGATTGTCCCATTAGAACCTCCATTTACAGTGGATTTGCCCATTAAAGCCTTCATTTATAGCTTTTCCCAATAAAACTTCCATTTACAAAGGATTGTCCAATTCAAACCTTAATTTATATGGGAAATGTAGACAAAATTAGAATCTCCATGTATAAAGAAAGGACTTTCCTCTTAGAACCTCCTTTTTATGTGATTTTCTCATTTAAACCTAAATTTACAGGGAATTTTCGGGCCAGCCCCGTTAAATGAGTATAAATCATTATATCGAATAAATCATTATATCGAGGGTAAATCTAGCCACAACCTGCGCTTCCCAGTAACGCGCTGCCCTTCGCTGGTTTCACTTTGATGCCCAGGGTGGGGAAGAGCGTGTGCCCACCGGTGCCCACGTCGTTCAAATACCTCGCGGATGGTGGTGGAACCCACCAAAGAATGCGGAGATTGCAAGGGAGATTTTGATAAATCCTACTCTAATCCATTAAGGGGGCGTATTATTAACCACCGTAAAAATACAACATCAACCTTAACCCATCAACTTTTGATCGGCATATATGATGATGCAATGATGCGACATGGGAGTTCAACCAAGGTAAAACTGACACGTTGCAGTTATGTCAGCGTCTTCATGTTGGGGGAGTACCATTGACTATAATCCCATCCTTTCTCATACCAACCTGTCCCATCGCCCCAAACCAAGCAAATCAGATGCATTCCAATACTCATCTGGGATTCTGAAGATACTATACTATACTATATTATATATTATGTATATATATATACATATATCTATATCTATATATGTATTTTTACTTATTTATTTATCTATCTATTTATTTATTTATATATGTTTATATTCATAGGTAATAGTGACCCAAAAGGGGTCATAACGGATTAGCACCAACCTCCAGTGGGTCCATGACGTCAAGCCGCGTCAGCATCGTCGCCCTGTTGTAGTCGATATGTACGGGCAGCCACTGTTCCTGGAGATGATTGGGGATGATTGGAAGGGATCGGGACATATGGATATGCTATATATGTTTTCAATGTGGGTAAAACAATGCCATTTGCACCATCCCCCAGCCATCACCATTCTTATAGGTGGTATGGTTACCATTCCCAAATGGTTGGTTTATGGCATTGTCTTAGCCACATTAAATTATGTTTTTGATCCATCTGATGCAAAGATGCGCCATGAGCCAAGGCATCCAAGGGATTGCAGCTGTCCTTTCGGTAGTGCTTGATATTGGCTTGGCCGAAGGAGGTATCCAAACCGCATTTCTCGCGCACCTTTTGGAGGAAACTGTCCAACAAACACCTGGCCACGGCTTTTCAGGAAGCCAGGTCTAAACCCAAACATCGGCCGCACAACATACCTTTTCTTGGCGGTTGCTTCCATGTCAAGATTGAAAATGTATGGAAATGTAACATGGGAGCAGCCTGGGATTGATCTACCTCCCCCCCTTTGGGGGAGAAACGGTCTCGGCAATTTAGGGATTTTGTCAAATGGATTTCTTCATACACCTGAGTAGATGGCACTTGTCCAACTAGCATCTTTGATAACATCATTCCAAGAGAACCACTGGGAGACTTTTTCCATTCGTGCCAAAGTCTCATCCAGCAGTTATTCAACATAGCTAAGGGAAATTGCCTATTTATTAGATGTACGTTGTCAAAAAAAATGCATAAGTTACCAAAGTAGCAGTGACCATTCTTCTGATCCCAATGGTGCCCCGTCGACCGGAAGGAATGTGGAGAAAACCTGGTTCCAACGAATGATTTGGACCCATCCGCAGGAGGCGATCCAAATGGCCATGGATAAAACCCATTAAAACCCTGCAGCTCACATGCCCCGAAAAAAATCCCTTCCACCCAGAAGACAGATAAAGGCGGAAACCTTGGTCTAGTACCGGACCCCACATGACCCGACAAAATAAGTAAGCAAGTAAGTATTGAGAAAGTATGAAAGCAACTGAATCAAGTAAAGTAAAGCAAAGTAGAGCAAATAAGATAAGTAAGTAATAAGTAAGTAATAAGTAAGTAAGTAAGTAAGTAAGGTAAGGTAAGGTAAGGTAAGGTAAGGTAAGGTAAAAAAACAGTGAAATAACGAGCATCAATCCTCATGCAGCAAAGATCACCAGGCAGCCGCCTGCTTCGGTACGTCCACCGCACCGTCGGATTGCCCAGCCAGTCCAACACAGGGACACCCCGGAAGGCCGTGCGCAGCGGGCCCAGCCAGCTGGGCCTAAATCGGCTTTAGTTCGGTGGTAGAAATCCCGATTTTCTGCATGTTAATATTGGATTTAGGTGGATTTAGCCTCTGGAAATTCAACATAGCCAATTGGAAAATCACCATGATTAAAATTCATCTTTGGTAAATCAACTATTTCTATGGGCCATTTTCGATAGCTATGTTAAATTACCGGAGACTAATTACAAAGAGTTATCACTATTCTAGTGGGATTTTACTGTTCTGCCTTTTTTTTTGGGATGGTTACTGTATACTTACTGACTGGCTAGTGACAGTGGCGGATCCTGGCGGCCACGTGGCCGCCATCGCCATTACCCGTCAGCCAAACCCAACCAACCATTTACCACAACCATTTATTAGCCATTACATATCACGAATATGGTTAATGAATGTGATTATTTTTATTAGTGAATATGATAAGTGGATATGTATCCAATTACTAGCCACCAATATCAATATCCATTGGCAATGCCCATCAATATCGTCAATATCCACAGGACATCATAGGACCATCTCATGTAACGAACTATTAAGATCATGCCCGCCACATCCAGTATCAACAATACCTGCTAAAATAATACCCATCAAAGCCACTCGAAAATCAACCAACCAAATTAATTAAACCATTCCAGCAAAACCACAGCAATATCAATCAAGTACATATAATACTTATCAACTAAAAAGAATCCATCAAATCACCAGCCATTCACCCTAGTAGCCATTAAGATCCATTAAGTATATGCAGACATAACTAATATAGATAGATAGATAGATAGATAGATAGATAGATAGATAGATAGATAGATAGATAGATAGATAGATAGATAGATAGATATAGATATGGATATACACACCCATATACCCATATACTCATATATATATATATATACATATAGATATCGATATAAAACTTAGATATTAGGTAATACTTATTAGATGTAGATATAGATATTAGATATAGATATAGACATATATATATATAATCATAATATAGTTATGAAGAAATTAGATATATAGATATAGTATGATATAGTTATAGAATGTTATAGATCTAGATTATAGATTAATATAGATTTAGATAATTTTAGATATAGATATTATCATCCATGATTTCACCCACCATTCCCCAACCATTCACCAGGTGGCACGTCCAGGTTGGCCTGTCCCAGGCGTTCCGGAAAGGTCCCATCCTCCGAGCGCATCGACTCCACGAAGGCCGCGCATTCGGAGGAGTCCAGGACGTTCTCCAGCAGCAGCACTGGGGGGTCCTGGAAATCCAGGGGAAAATAGATGGAAAATCCATGGAAAATATGGAACATGTCCAAGATCTTCGAAATTTTGATTGGTTGAACATGTA